CATGTGACAAGATTTTCTTGGCATTTCCACGATTCGACTTCTGTATAGAAGTGATCATCAGGGATAATTCAAAAGTAACAAATGAACTTTTATGTCACGTCTAAAGCCAGTGTCGCGCCAAAGGTGTAGAATTTTTTTCTTGGATAGTTTGCCCTCATATACTCATATTATTGATTTGTTTTTGTGGTTTTATTTCTAGTTTGTAGTTATTCACATATTTTCATCGTCGCAGTTTTTAAGTTTCTGTTCTTTTCTCTGCACAGGGGGTCGCTCAGTCGGCAGGGTAGGGTTTGAGTCCTTCTCGGGTCACTCTCCTTTCTATATTCTGGGGTTAGTAAATGAATGCTAACAGGAGACTACGCTGTATGCTTGCCACAGCTGCTGTGGACTTTGCCTTGAAATGGGACACTCCTGACTGGCGGCATGGAAATGGAGGTCAGCGCCCCGTTATTCATGGCACTAAAAGAGGTCGCAGCAGTGGGCTCATAATGTAGGTCATTAGGAAAATTGACATTCCGGTTACAAACTTTCTTTCATTTTCTCATCTCAGCTGGGCAGCGAACTGTTTTTCGAATCGTGCTTAAGCGGAAAGTTGTCGATGAAATTTCACTGCCTTTGTCGAAAATAGCCAAATGAAAAAAACGTTGACTAATGCCTGTGCCTATGAATCTCATTCGTCATTCATCGTCCATCTTGTTCTGTTTTGTCGTCGTAAGACAGTATTGATCTGCAGTTGACATGGCCATGGTGCCTTGTCGCAAATATCAGCAGTTCTTAGTAAGTTCGTAATGTTCGGCGTTAAAAATGCTTAACCATCTCATATGTTGGTACCGCTTTAGCTAATGGCTGTGACGTTGATCCGTATGTGAATATCACATAGGACTGGTAGAAAGATATTTCGGCAAGGTGCATTAAACGTAGAAAAACCGGACTGTAGGAAGTTAACGAAGATCAGCATTCTGATAGCAGCTTTATTCATAGTAATTGTTTGTAATCTCAAACATTTGCGATCCTGAAACTTCATGAAGTTTGTTTCAGCAGTTTTAAACGACTCTGCAAATTGACGTCAGAGTGCAGTGACAGAGTTTGAAATAGTGACAAGTTGTATGAGAAACCACTGCTTAGCTTAGTTTGATAAGACGACTCAAAATGATTCGAGAGAGTGAAAACTTCGAAACGTTGAGACTTGAAACGCTTCGAATGAGTGTGCGAAACGTGGAAATACCTCTTAGGGACGAATCCACTTGAAATGGCTATGCTGCAAAAGACGCTGTCCATCCAGTTCAAGTAATAAAAATTCAAACAAACTCACATGACCTATTCCGCATCAGGAAACGTTGCTTAATATTAATCTCTGACAGCGGAACTATAGACCTCGCTGTTGTTTATGCTTCGTTAACGTTAGCTGGCGATGGCAATAAGACCAAGTATATGAGATGAGTGATAAATGTCACCTGTTGTTTATTTGCATAAAGCATGATATACATTTCTTTGGTACGGATAACTCAAGTGGTGGAAAAGATGCTATTTTCTTCCTTTCCTTACGTCATCCGTTATACATCCAGCATCACTTGGGTACTTTGGCCTCTAGCGTCTAAGTAATTATTGTCTTCAGACGGGAGACGATATGATAGAAGGATTATGCCATTATTGTGGATTTATACGGATGGTGTCTGCAATCTTTCCGTTTAGGTTAATGATCAGAATATCTTTCTCCTAAATAGATTTGCCTCGAAAGCATAAACGAGCTTGTCAGTTACCGTTTGCTGTGACTGCTTCATGAGCCGTCAGTTTCAGAGGTCAACACAGGTCTTCTCAGGGGAAGCTATCCTACACCGTGATTTGCCCTTGTAGGGATATTTTATTTCAATCGCTACGTGCCCTCTGCGACGGAGACGCAAAAGCTGAATTTGTGGAGTGCGATTTTTTCATTCCTCC